CCCCTGTGAAGCCGCCGCCTCCTCCTCCTCGACTGACCTGCAGTACTGCCTGCCACATTGCTGGGGGGAGGTGGAACAAAGGGAGCCACGGACTGCAAGGAAAACTGCACCTCCACTCCTTATTCTGGCATGTCCCCAAGGGTCCTGGAGTTTGGACACATTCTGTAAGTTAGCCCATTTGAGGTATCTTGGTTTAAAAATTGTTGCCCTAGGACACACTTTTCGTCGAGTTGAAGGTTACAAATACAAGAGTTTTAATAGTATATAGATTCTCTGCCTTATTTCTTATTTCTCTCTGCCTCTAATGTGTCTCTGGAAATGCTACAACTTATTCAGCCAACTAGATGCATATCCTATATAGAAGGGAACCACAATCAAGTTGTTTTATTAATGCAACTTCCAAAGGACGCAGGTCAAGGCAGTTTTGCAAGTGGAGGAAAAAAATTGACAAAAAAGAGAAAAAACCTTCAGCCCTACAGTCCTTTCAAGTTATTTGGGGAAACCTGACTACTGCATCAGTTCACGTCAAGCTGAAATTGGTGATATACATCCTCTCTGTCCCGTGACTGTTACCTAAGATTCTGCTAAATAAACATCTATATCGCATGCAAGCCAGATTCTGTATTTAAAGTTAATGCATTTATGGGTTGTGGACACTGACATCCTACTAATGTCAAACTAGGTGTTGGACAAGAATATGGTGAATGATACCCTTTGAATTCCTTTTTTGAGCAATCAAAAATTACTCATCAGAGGAGAATCTATTTAGCAAATTCTGGCCACCAACAATTTATCTTTGAGTGTATGCTTTTCTTTTGCAGCTCACTTGTATAAGTGCTCAGCTCTGCGAGAAAGCTGTGGACTGTGCCTCAAGGCGGATCCACGCTTTGAGTGTGGTTGGTGCGTGTCAGAAAAACGATGTTCCCTCCGACAACACTGCCCAGCATCAGAAAGCAGCTGGATGCATGCGAGCAATGGCAATAGCCGTTGTGCAGATCCCAAAATCATTAAGGTATGTTTGTGATAGGTGTTGGCAAAGAAGAGGGCCTTTTTCCATTCTCTTTGTCAATAGTCTATGGAAAGTTGGCTGAGTCAGAGGATGCTTGGAAATACATGGTTCTGGAGTATTTTAAGGAGTTACAGGCATATCCTGCAGCTGTTGGTATTAATCAGCCCAGCTTTGTACACTACTGATTTCATGTCCATAATCCCTCTGCTTACCTAGCAGTGGTATCAGGGGAATTTCCCTGGCAAATAATGAAACAGCATCCTAGGAGGCTGAGAATTATATGATTTGAAGAGTAACACATCTGGTGGATACCATGCTGGGGAAGGCTGGTGTGTATAACATTCCTGTGCACACGATATTGCTGTCAGTTTAGACTACTAAGTTCTTCAGCTGTCGCAAATACGTTTTCATGTCGATTTACTTGTTAGAGTTCTTTTTAAGAAATTTGGTAAAATCCCTCTCTCTCCTTTGCTCCATGAGTTTTCATAGAATACTAATGCTTATTTGATTATGCCAGTGCTGTCACTGACATGCCATTGATGAAATGACATACAGATGGTTTCAATGGAGTATGGGGAGGATGTGATTCAGTTGTTAGAGTTGGATACATATCCTGCGTGTAATTTCTAGGTCTCATTTTTCTCCTTTTCTATTTAGCTTCTCCCTGTGACTTTTATTGTGCTCTCTCTATAGAATGGAGATGTTTAATATCAATCAATATTGGTGGCTTGCAAGAGTTCATTGGTCAGATCTAATGAATGACTCTGAGGGCAATCCCCTCTGATAGACAGGGGCTGGAAGTGAATTTTGCACATATTCACTGCATTACAAGGCATTTGTTTTTAGAGCACCTCTCGTGTATATTAAGCTCATACTCTGTCTGCTAAAATTTAGTGATAGAAAGCAGTCACTATAGCAGACATGATAAACATTGTATGCTTTTATTTGGTTTCTACATAGTTTCTTCTGTGTTTAGTATTGAAGCTCCTATCTCCATCTAATTCTCTTACCTTTGCATCTAAGAATAGAAGGAGGTGGAAAACAAAGGAAAGAGCAAGAGGTGCAGGAAACTGCAGACATCTCTGCTGCAAAGCTAGATGCCATTGAATATTAGCCTGAAAATGAGCTGTTGCTTGTTGGTACTGTTTCCCTGCTGATCTTAACACTTTCTGTAATCACTGAACAAAGTCAGTCTCTCTCCCCCCTTTCTTTCAGGTCCAGTAATCTCTTCCCTTCATTTCATCATCCAGTTTTGTTCTCCCACTTTTTTTCTCTTCCTAGTGGAGCTACTTGTTCCTCACACTCCATCTCACTCAGTTTTTTTCTCCTTTTGACTGTTTCTGCTGGAAGGATGTAGGGGAATATGTATACTAACATGTTTCTGTATACAGGAATGAGAGAAAAAACTCCGGGAGTCTGCAAAATCAAAATTATTTGCCAGATATTGAAGATATTTGCAAAAATTTAAAACATTGTCACTCTTCTCATTCTTTTTTTTTATTTGTTAAAAAACAGGGTTTTTT